AAAATCTAAAACATGTCATTACTCTTTAGTTGACCTCTTGTTAACAGACTTTTGAGACAACTTTCAGCTCAAGTTTGGAGGAGTAGAGCTAAAATCATGTGTTGATTCATCATCCAAAGGCAGTATATAAATAAATGACACATTTGTCTTCCCATTGTGTTAGTTGTTTGGTAATTTTAATGTAAAAAAGAATGCCAAAAGTTGTCTTGCTACCATCTTAAATGTGAGGATTTGCTATTTTTTTTAAAAGATTTTGTTCAGAAAGATCTTTGGTTTTATCAGAACTTTACAACAATTCATAAAAAAAGTTAATGTAGATTAAAACAGAACTTGCTTTGTTCCAAACCTAAGACACTTTTGTCCAACTGGCTTGTGAAGCTAGTAAATCAATTAGCAGCCAAAGAGTTTGTTAGAAACAAAATATAGATTGATATCATTGTCGTTTTATAATATTTGTTTGTTTTTGCTAATAAACAACTTTATATAAGTCTCAAGTCAACATTAAAGCTCCTGTGAGGAACATTTGGTTACTCATTTTGGAGCCCCCTGTGACCAAAGCGGTTTAACAGTCCACAGTCTTTGCTCTGGAGAATGTAAAGAAAGGCTGTTTTAGAGGCGTGCTGGAATTCATTTTGACGCCTACCCAGCATCAGCGGTAACAGACATTAAAAACAACTGTATAGAAATAGTCATAAAAATAATCAGAAATAGTCAAGCTTTATGCTGATGGACTTTATTGGTCGTGCAGGTCATACAGATGCATCAATAGTCATTTCAGTCCGTTTCATCACCAGGTGAAAACTCCTCTCAGGAGCTTTAAACGGCAATCTTGAGTTGTAACTTGTTTCTGCTGCTCCCAAGTGGCCGAAAAAAAGCAGTTGTCTAAAATATTATTTGTAGTTGTACCAAGACTGAGCTTAAACTTAGTGAATTTACCTGACAGAACACTGTAGGAATAAACATTTTCAAGTGTTGTTTTGACTGGAAATGTATTAAAGTTATTATCACCACATACATAAAGACATCGGATGACTTGATTTTTAATTTTTAAGTAATTTTGAGAAATATATAATGTGTTGGATGCCTCTTTTTGTGTTCTTTTTCTTCTTCTCTGAACCACTTCCCCACCAGAGAGAACAGTGCTGCTGCTGCTGCCGTCAAAAGGTCATCACAACCTAAAAGAACAAAATCTGCTCTATGATATCAGATCTTTATCCCTTTAGTCCTTATGTGTCAGCACTCACAGGCTGCACTGAGATGACTTATCAGAGACTGTTTCCAGAACAAACGTGTCGGGGGCACCGTCTCCTCTACAAGCCTGTGACCCACACACACACACACACACACACACACACACACACGCACGCGCACACGCACACGCACACGCACACGCACACACGCACACACACACACACACACACACACTCACTGAGGGGAGTGACCTGAAACGAAATAGAGGAAAGTCCGTTTGACATGCTGTCCGGGGGGGGGGGGGGGCTAGCTGGGGATAGGTGCTTGGTCAGATAGTGAGCAGGTGGGATGAGGCACACCAGGCTTTATTTAGCAAACCTACAGGCAGTGTGGCTTTCACTGCCCTATTTCTTTTTACTAGATTCTCCAGCAATTTAACTGGAATGTTGTTTTTTTTGTTGGTATTGTAGGCTGTGAACTATTGTTATATTGATATGCTGCATTACATGTTAAACAACAACAACATGGTACATAATGCAAAAAACATGCAAATCAATCATGTTTTGAGTTTTTTTTACTTTAAATTATTCCCACTATTTTATAATAAAAAATATTATTTTACATTATGAAAAAAAGGAAAGATGTGTAGGTAACATATAGCTTTTTTTTACATAGACTTAATTGGTCGTTATAGGAAATAAAGTGACACAGAATGATGCACTGTATGAACAGTATGGAGCAGTTTCTCTTCAGAACCATTGGGGGAGCTATTGTTTTATGAAAGAGCATCCCTTCATAACCATTATGACATGCTGCACATAGTTCATATGCAGTATTAACACATAATAAGATTGGCAGTTATAATTTTAGGGATGGTGCAAGTATTTTAAGACAGATATAGCTCCACTCTTATGAAGAATTATCCTCATTTGAATCCTTGGTTTTTGTTGAAATCAGTCTCGATCATATCAAGAGCAGTGTGTGCTTTGTGGGAAGGAAGAGTTGGGACCTGCTTGAGTTCCAGTGAGGAAAGGAGCGCTAGGAAGTCTGTTGTCTTTGCTTTATCAATGTGGTGGTTCATGTCTCCCATGATAATCAGTATTGTCCCACCATCAGGGATATCTGAGATTGACATGTCCAGTTACACAACAAAATCCTCCAGATTACACCCTGGTGGGTGGCAAATGATGGCAATGTATATTTGAATAGGAGCAGTAACCATGATTGTGTGATATTCAAGTGAGGAGTTGTTTCTCAGTTGGAAGCGGTTATTAAAGTTCCAGGTTTTGGAAATGAGGATACCTGTTCCACTTTCACGTCCACCCCTGGGGTGTGTTTGAAAGCATTGTGTCAGCAGAAAGAGCAGCTGTTGTCACAGCGTTTTCAGGACGGATCCATGTTTCAGTGAGGGCCTGGAGTTTTGCAAGTGCTTGGATGAATTCAATTTTATTCACAGAAGATTGACACTTCCAAAGGCCAAATGTAAATGAAGGGTGGGTAGAAGAGGCAGTCTTAAGCAGAGATAAGTTGTAAGGATTGCGTCCTGTATGACAGGCGCGTCTTTTTCTGTTCTCATGAATGACAGAGATTTGTAGCGCATGATGCATTAGGCAGTAAACAAGATGCAATATGGGCAAAGGCAGTAGATCTCCTGGTTCAGTGGACTCGCTGGTCTTTACCCAGTTTTGGTCTTATCACAATGAGGTGTGACGCTTCAACGTGCCTCATGATCTTAAATACCCCAGAGAACCACAGCTGACACTGCTTTTGTTTAATTTTACACGGCTGAACCCGCCCCTGCTCGATATTCAGTTTTCAATCAACAGAGGGTTAGACACGCGTCCTGTTGATGCTCAGAGAATGAAACTTAAATGCTCAGCCCAATCAAAGCCTGCGACTTTACATACTGCCAGGGATCTTAATACTTTAAACTGCAGATTTTGTGAACTGATCCTTTAAATCTCACTAACAAAAAAAAAAATCTTCATCTAATAAATGTAGCTCAGTGGGGTTCATTTTTATTTTAGTGCTATTTGTATTCTGTTTGTTTCTCTGTTCTTTACATTTGATGTTATCGCACTTTATTCTTAATTAAAAATTACCTCGGTACCTATCAAAGTATCTGAGCTTCAATTAATATCAAGGTTACACGCACAACTGTAATAAGCATGAAAATGAGTCTGGAATATATTGTTGAATGTATGTTCAATTTAATTGCTCAATAAAAGATATTTGAATTAATAAATGAAGCTGTTCAATAAAGTGGAATACAGATGCCCTCTGAGGTCAATTGAGAGGAAATGTGAACTATCATGAAATGGAAATACTCAATGAAGCTAAAGTATCTCAGTTATTAAATATTTCTAATTTATTTTTTAAAGTCCGTCATTACTATTTAAAAAAAAAAAAAAATCTACAACATGAACTAATGGAGGGAATGGCCTATGTAAATCATCTGTACCAATCAATACAAAAATGTGTTAAAAGCCATTTTGAGTAATAACCAGTATAGCCTATTAGCCTATCCCCTTACCTGACACATGGCAGCTTGACCCTTTACTTACAGGTACTATCAGGGGGTCATATCTGAAGCCCCTCATGGGAAAAAGCTTGTGTTTTGTCAGGGCTTTGTTAGTTAACTTTTTTCACATAACATGTTTGACTTCCTAAACCCCCCCCCCCCCCACACTCCACTGCTTATCTCTGTATTGGTTTTCCCCGATTACGAAGGAATAACAACATGGTGAAGTTACACAAGGACGTGTGTTTTGTAGTTTGTGATAACAGCAGTGTAAAACTTACTATGACAACTTAGTATGAACACATCAATCAGATGTAATACCTGATAAAAACAAAAGGCCTTCAAACGTTCAGGTTGTTTCCAAGATTATTTTTGCACACTGTGATGAATACTGGAATAAGCAATATCATCGACATTAAGACAAAATATGAATATAGAAATAAGTCATCATGTCACAATTAGAATTAAAACAACCATGAAAACATTCCCAGTTAAACTATTTCATGTCAAGGACAGTCACTTGATAACATACATACTCACGTGTTGAATTATTTATACATTAACAAAAATGTAAACTAAATGTTGACTGTATTAGCCCTCCCACGTTGACCAACTCTGCCCCAATAATCATACAACAAACATTATTCTGGATTTTCCAGCCTCAGGTTAATTATTTGCATTTCCCAAAATCGAATTGCATTCCAACTCAAAGTTTTATAACTCAAGGTTTGATTAATCTGACTATTACAACATGATGTGGCATTGAACTGTGTGAACAAATAATAAAGCTGGATGGACCCAAGCTGTCGTGCTCTGAGTGGTAAGAACACTGAAATATCAGCTTGTATGTCTTAATAGTTGAATTAGTGTATACTTAACAGCTGATATGATTGATGTATGATGTTAGAGACAGGGACATGATGTTTTTAAACTGGGACACAATGTTTAATATGGGCAACGTTGCTGCTGAACCGTTTAAATGTCTGCCAAGTGATCCATTAGTTTCAGTTTCCTTTATAACTGCAGACAGGATAAGAGTCAATGCAACAGATGGTTTACTGTCAGAATGTAAAAAGAACAAGAGAGTATCCATGTTAGCATCCAGTATCTTAAAGCTCTTAGATTAGTCTGTTTCAAACCTTTCTGTGCCTCAATGCTATTTTTGATTCTCCTAGTTTTGAAAAAAGGTAAAACTTTGTGAGAAAGAACCATCTGTTTAACCTAAAAGCTGGTCTCTCATTGGATGAGAAGAGCGAGAAAAGGTGGATAAATACTTGGGGTGAGGCAGCAGGTTAGTGTGTTTTTTCTCTCTCATTCAGGGAAATAATGAAGTTGTTCATTCTGGTGGCTCTGTTCGGGCTGGGCCTCGCCCAGCACAACCCCCAGACCAAGCACGGCAGGACAACCATCGTCCACCTGTTTGAGTGGCGCTGGGCTGACATCGCTGCAGAGTGTGAGCGCTTCTTGGGTCCCAATGGCTTTGGTGGTGTCCAGGTACGTCTGCAAACAGGTGGATCGTTTCTTGGTTTGGAAAAGGAAGATCATTTATTGTTTTTCTTTTTCAGAATATGTGGTTTATAGTCAAGCTGCTTGTAAAATAAGCATTAGACTCATTCAATTAGATTTTTCTTTAAGGAGAAGTTCACCATATATTAAAAGGTAACAGTGGATTTCATCTTCCTTTATCAAGAACAGTTGTAAGCTGTTTAAGATATTTATTTAAACTTCAGTTTCATCAGTTTTTATGAATAAATATTTTTCATTTTAAACACAAATATTTTAGCGTGAATAAATAAGTAAAGTAGTGTCAGTAGGGAGGTGATAATATATAAATAAGGACTACAAATGTTGGCATAATTAAAATATGTTGCATTTTCTGTTGCTTCTCCTTAACTTCATTTTAAAAAGGTAGTCCAGAAATGTTTGTATTGCAGTTCTCTAATTTTGGAGTTCATGGAGGGCAGTTTTTCTTTTAAAAATGGCCTTTCAGATCAGAAACAGTTCATTCCAACTCTATGTAAAAAATAAAGCTCTTAAATACTACAAAACCTGACATCATCATTAGAGATTTTGTCATATTTAAGAAAGTTTCAGAGTGACATTTTACTGTTCACAATACTTAACTATAATTTCCAATGTTACAATTTAATTTAGGAGATGCTTTTGTCCAAAGTGAGCTACAACCTTCTTCACAGGCTACATAGTACTCCTTATGATAATAAAATAATAGTACACTTAATATAACCATATCCACCATCAACTCTCTATCTGCAAACAATTCTTCTTGAAAGTGATCATTACTGTAATGTCTTCCCTCTGTGTTTTTTTTCTTTCTTTCAGATCTCCCCTCCCAATGAGCACATTGTGCTCGACAGTCCCTGGAGGCCCTGGTGGCAGAGATACCAGCCAATCGGCTACAACCTGTGCTCCAGATCTGGCAGTGAGGACGAGCTCAGAGACATGATCACCAGATGCAACAATGTCGGGGTAAACTACATTTCAACAGTCGTGTTGATAAATTCATTCTAAGAAAGACAGCAGCTCGTAAATCTACAGCTTTGAAAAAGACTATAAATTGTTGGCAGACACATGGCTTAAGGCTTCATGTATTATTTCAGATCACTTTCTAATAACATGCAGCTGACATTTTGAAATAACAGATATTTTTTAACAAAGAACTAGGTTATTAGGTAAGGCCCTTGTCTTGAGGAAATATAAACCATAATTTGATTTGGACATTCAGCAGCTGCCTCAATTCCTTGACAAACAACATCACACTAAGCAGAGATTGACCAGTGCAGCTTTGACATAGCCAGGTGACCAGAGAATGAACCTAATGTGCTAAAAAAAAGTTGTGAAAGTGCGCAGGGATAGAAGGGAGGTGTTGATTAGCTGTGTTTGCACCTAAGTTTTTTTTCCCCTACCCCCGCAGGTCAACATCTATGTGGATGCTGTCGTCAACCACATGTGTGGTGCCGGAGGTGGAGAGGGAACCCACTCCTCATGTGGAAGCTGGTTCAGCGCCAACAGAAAAGAATTCCCCACAGTCCCTTTCACCCACTGGGACTTCAATGACAACAAATGCAGGACTGGCAGCGGCAATATTGAGAACTACGGTGATGCTAATCAGGTGAAGAATAGATCACTCATCAAACAGTAATTTTTACAACCAATCAACATTTTTTCATGACACTTTTAACTCCATGTAAGAGGCTGTTCAGTAAGATGCTTCCAAATTGACCCGTTATTTTACTCAGAGGAGTTTTAAACAAGAATAATGATAAATGTATATGCTATATTGTCTGCTCCAGGTCCGTGATTGTCGTTTGGTCGGCCTGTTGGACCTCGCACTGGAGAAAGATTTTGTCAGGGGCAAGGTTGCTGACTTCATGAACAAGCTGATTGACATGGGTGTGGCTGGATTCAGAGTGGATGCCTGCAAGCACATGTGGCCCGGCGACCTGTCTGCTGTTTACGGCCGTCTGCACAACCTCAACTCCAAATGGTTCCCCAATGGCGCCAGACCCTTCATCTTCCAGGAGGTAAGATATATCTCTGTCTTAGATATCTGAAAATATATCATTGGAAGAGTCAAATATCTAAAAAAAATAAATAATAATAATATATAAAAAAAAGATATATCAGCCTTAAACCCTCTACTCTTACTCCATGCATATTCTGTCGGGTTAAAAACACATGTTGTAAATACATAAGTCATCATGTTTAATTGGTTTAAAATCACCTCTGTATTTTACAATCTATCTTGCTGACATAAAATAGCTGGATTCACAGCTAAAATCCTCATGCAGGTTACTGATTGGTTTAAGACACGCCCACTTGACAAATATTTATGACTGATAGCGCCTTACAGCATTCAACAGAGCTGTGGGAAAATGAGCGCAGGAATCCAGATGACAAACACAAACACACCCAGACACAGAGCATATGTTAATACCCAACAAGACATTATTATTTTACAAGCACCAGTATGAACAGAGGTAATACTGACATCATGATATACTAAATGGATGAAGCCCAGACTTTTTGATTTGAAAAAAACAAAGGTTGTAAGCTACAAAAAGAGCCAGTGAGCCTCAAAGACATTACTGTTTAACAGCAGAAATATGGTTCTTGTTATCGCCAATAAAGTGACTTAAGTGACTTAAATGACTTTTGTCACTCCACAAATCACAGACATTGCGCAGTAATCTGAACCATAAACTTCTTTGGATTGCATGATTGATGTGAGCGGTGGTGTGAATTTGATTTGCCTCCAGGTTATTGATCTGGGAGGTGAGCCCATCACATCTAGAGAGTATACCCATCTTGGAAGGGTGACCGAGTTCAAATATGGCGCCAAACTGGGAGCTGTCTTCAGAAAATGGAATGGCGAGAAGCTGTCTTACACCAAGTATGCTTATTTTTTTGTTACAGTGCCTTTACAATAGATATCAAATTGATTTATTGGAATTTGATTAAACCATGACAGTCAATGGGTAGGGCTAATATGTTTTTGCTTAGTAACAGCTGATTCTAGAGACAAGTTTATGACTTAATTCTTCCTAAGTTATGTTGACTCCAGCTGGAATGTCTGGCCAAAATACTTGAGCTCATATTTTGTCCAAACTTGATTATTTTTTAAGTTTACCTTTTAATATTAAATCATATTCTTGTGTGCAGGAGCTGGGGAGAGGGATGGGGTTTCATGCCCGACGGCAATGCTTTTGTCTTCGTTGACAACCATGACAACCAGAGAGGACACGGTGCTGGTGGTGCCGCCATTGTTACCTTCTGGGATTCCAGGCTTCACAAGATGGCCGTTGCCTACATGCTGGCCCATCCATACGGTATCACCAGGGTGATGTCTAGCTTCCGCTGGAACCGCCACATTGTCAACGGAAAGGTACATACTGCTTTCAGTTGAAATAATTATCATAAGCAATATGGAGCAAGGATTTTGTTGTGTAAAACAGATTTCACCACCTTCAAATTGTAGGATCAGAATGACTGGATGGGCCCTCCCAGCCATGGTGATGGATCCACCAAGCCTGTTCCCATCAACCCCGACCAGACTTGTGGAGATGGATGGGTGTGTGAGCACAGATGGCGTCAGATCAAGTGAGTCCCTCAGAAAACAAGAAACGATGAACTGCTCACCAACTGAAGGACTTCTGCTTGGTCATATGGATAACTACGTTCATGTCTGTCTTATTTAGGAACATGGTTATCTTCCGTAATGTTGTCAATGGACAGCCTCACTCAAACTGGTGGGACAACCAGAGCAACCAGGTAGCTTTTGGACGTGGCAACCGTGGATTCATTGTCTTCAACAATGATGACTGGTAAGGATTACAATTACTCTAACTTGAACTGACAAATAAGTACTTATTTCAGTCACTTAAATCAACTAACTCCCTGGAAGAAGAAACTTAAAGAACCAGTTGCAGATTTGTGTCAATATTGAGTAGGCTTTGAGATATAATATACAATCAACTATAACAACAGGTAATTGGATTTGCATGTAGTGTAAAGCACTGTGAAACTGTGAAAAGTCTCTTACTGTGGGAGTTTAAAAAATAAACATCTACCTTGTCTTCCCCATCAGGGATCTGGATGTTACCCTGAACACTGGCATGCCTGGCGGAACCTACTGTGACGTCATTTCTGGCCAGAAGGACGGAGGCAGATGCACTGGTAAGCAGATCAATGTTGGTGGCGACGGCCGCGCCCACTTCAGGATCAGCAACAAAGATGAGGACCCCTTCGTTGCTATCCACGCTGACTCCAAGCTGTAATCATATCCTGTAAAACTTTAAATAAAATATATTTGAATCAACTTGTACAAAGAACTTGTTTCTTTTCATGCCGTGAGTTTTTGGATTATTTCAATTACTCACTAGAACATGCAGATCAGTAGAAAAACAAAAGCAAAGCACACTTGGCCATACATCTTACAAAAAGTTATAGTTGCAACCTTAACTCATACCACACAGATGTCCCTTTTAAAGGTTTGGTATGGGGTAATAATGGGTTATACTTTTCCACAGAGTCTACAAACTTAACATTGTTTCCCTGAGCTGGAAATACAAAAGAATGTAGCATCTGCAACTGATGCATTCACATGGAAAAAGCATAAAAAGCAACCACAAAAAGCTCTTATAAAATCATTAAATTCTGTTGTTCTGTGTGAGAGAAGATCTATGCAGTGATTTCAATCTAACATACCGTATTTTCCGCACTATAAGGCGCACTTAAAAGCCTTTAATTTTCTCAAAAAATGACAGTGCGCCTTATAATCCTTATATATGGATCAATTGGTTAATTGGTTGATCCATACTGGTTGTACACGGCGCTCAGCGACACTGACTCGGATAATGACGAGAGGGAGCCGGGCATGTTGGATGCCGTATTCGCCCAACTGTTCAATTCGGACACTGAAGAAGAATTCAAGGGATTCGTGGACGGGGAATGAACTGAAAAAGTGAGCTTTACGTGTTATACGTAACTGAACAATGTTGAGTTATGCACTAACGTTTGAATTAGCGGTATCAGACTGTGTTTCTTTTACGTGTTTACAATTGAACAAGGCTGGGAGATATTGTGAATATGCACATTAACGTTTGAACAACGTTGAGTTATTGTGAATGCACTACGTATAAAACATAGTTTTATACGTATTTATATTTATATATTCACAATATCTCCCAGCCTTGTTCAGTTGTAAACACGTTCTATTCTATGCGCCTTATAATCCGGTGCGCCCTATATATGAAAACAGTTCTAAAATAGGCCATTCATTGAAGGTGCGCCTTATAATCCGGTGCGCCTTATAGTGCGGAAAATACGGTACATGAACCATGCAAATGCAGAAAATCTGCCCATCTGTCAGCTAATGTGGTTTAATCAAGGATAAAGAGCTTTTTTTATGTTCATCATCTGTTCATAAAGTAGTGTTTCTTTAATTTCAGTTTTTTTTTTTAAAGACCTTGCAATGACCGCTTTACTGCTGCCATGAGAGGTTACTTAATATGTAAAAGGCTAATAGGCTGTCAGAAACTTTGAACACTGGAGACCAGGGAAAAATGAGTTACTGCATAGACTCTAAAAACCTAAAAGCCAAAACAATAACCTACTTCTAAACTGATAAACTTAGGGACGGAAAGTCAATTGAAATAGAAATTAGTGCTTTATTTAACAAACTTGACTGATTTTTCTTCCCTGTCCTCATCAGGAATGTTACATCTGTGATTTTTATGCTACAACGCAGTTTGGATCTAAAACATTTATCAACTACAAACTACTATTGGAGTTTTCAGGTACTGCTCTAATTTCAAACAAGCAAAATATAAGGCCCTTAGAGACAACAACAAAAAAAGCTAATCTCAGCAATAGTGTATTATTGGCTTGAACAACAACAGAAGCTAGCAGAGAAAATCAGCCCTTTCTAATATAAACAATGCTAAGGCTAATATGTCTTGAGTGCATGGGTTTAAGAACTGGTTTATCTTTTTAAAAATACATATTTAGATACACTCCTCTTCCCCCTTTGTAAACACTATTATTGATGGTTAGCTAGTTAGCTGGACATGCTAATGTTTGCAGCTTACACTAGAACATACAGACATTGAAAACCTTTATCTACACAATTGTTTTTCTGTAATGGCAATTATGGCTCTACATGTGTCAAGTATCATTCTTCTAGAACCACAAGCACAGCACTTCCACATGCAAATATTTAGCCTTCCTGTGCCTAGTGTAGAGGCTAGCTCAAACCAGTTCATGGAGTGGCAAGGCACGGGGTCAATTGCTGTATGAATAGGAAAGACTGGTTGATTTATTGTAGTGAGGTCAATAAATATCGTTTTAAAAAAGATGTCCAACAGCTTTACAGACAGTAAGTGTACTGAAGAAGACCCATGATGTCTGTGAACGTCCTTCCTGCATTGTGTATTCTTCTCCTCCACTGGGACGACTCTGTGCCATCACACTGCAGCCACTTCAGTTTCACCTGAGTGCAGCCCTGGCATCTGTCATTAGGGCAGCGCTGGGACCCAAAGGTCCAATGAGCCAGATCTCCATCCTTTCTTCCCTCCTCCCTCTGTTTCCCCCTTTTTTTTCCTTCCTGTCCCATCACCCTTGCTTCCTCCATGCATGTGTCTACCTTTCCCAGCCCACCTACTGAGATCCCCCCCCCCCCCCCCCCCCCACACACACACACACCCCGACAGCAGCTCTGGACTGGTGACACTGAAGTGCCAGCATCTAGAGGTGAGATGGGGAAGGTGAGATGGGGAAGGTGATGCCTTCCGAAAAATTTCAGCTCATCTTGGTTGTCATAGCAACTTGGTTCATGAGTGAAGAACCTGGGAAATTCTTAAATGCCTCATAGAAAGAACAAGACAGATAATGTTAGTAAATCATCTTATTACTGGTCAAAAATGTGCCCTCTAACAATACACAAGTAAAAAAAAAACTTTCAATCAAATGCTGCAGATTGTTATAGATATGTTTAAAAATGGATGCTGTATGCTTTAAAATATGGAAATCTTTTCACTCCTCTTAAGACGTGAAATCAGCATGAAACGAAATGTGCAAAATGTGAAAGTCAGAGTGAGAGAGAGCAGGAAGGAGGATAGAAGGAGACCTTAACATTGGACTGGCCTCAACATATTGCAACTGCTAAATTATTGACCCTCTCTCCATCTCTTGGTCCGGCAGCTGTGAGGGGCCTGTACCTTCAGATTAGCCGCAGAGATGTCAGTGTAGCAGACCGGGGTCTTTGGTCCTGTCATCCTCACTGATGCTTTGTGACATGGCTGTCAACGTTGTCCCCATCCTGTTTCATATTTCATACAGTGCACCAGACCTGCCTGTCACATCGGCCAAGGAGAGAGACAGTCATCAACTTAAAGACGAATAAGCAACTGAGTTTTTTGGGATCTATTCTGCTGTCTCAGACCGCTCAAAGAAAGTCGAAAAGATAGTCCAAGGGAGGTTCATGCTTTGGATTACATGACAATTAAAATAAAGTAAATTAAAGACAGACACATTTATTTTTAAATTACGCTTCTTTTTAACTGAGTTAGAAGAAAGAAAAAATAAGTCATTTTTAAGGCTGCTTGGCTGCTTTTTTATGGCTGTTGCAAAAATCATGTACACAATATTTCATGATTCCCTTTAGCAAAGTGGTACCTGAGTAAGGTTCTGCTGCCTACCACATGGGGGCAGTATTGATGCAAGAACTATGAAACAAGCTTTCCCTAAAACCGGTTTAAAAGGGTCCATGAGACATTTTGCTCTCTGTGAAATTAATTTCACAACTGCTTGAAATTCAATGCATGATACTGAAGATGCTTAAAAGAATTCATGATTGATGTTTAATACCAAGAATTAAGCATGAATTATATATATTGTCAACGACAGAATAAAAGAGGTGAATGATGTACGACTGTATTGCTGCTCATACAAACTTAATTCATGCAAAACTGCATCATGTTTGGCTGTCAGTGTCTGCTCCCAGATGATCTAGATGAGGCTGTCCGTTAATGTAAGCACAGCTATGTTTGTTTTGCATGATATTAACATCACATCTTTCAACTAATCAGCCTGCAGAAGAACTCAGTGCAGAGAGGTATTGATCCAGAGCACTTGACAGAATCTTTATGAATTTTCTGGTCACTGGCGAGTCTTGTCAGGCTTCCAGTGTCCTCACCCTATAGCTGTCACATCATATCACTGTTGTACACCATTGCCATGGCAACATGCTATTGCATTGCTACGAATAGGCTGTCTCTAAGAACTTTGAAACAGGTGACACGGATGTATTATGAGTTTTTGATTTCACAAATGCACTTTATCTGTCATATTTTGGCCGACAGTTCTAACGTCTTCAAAAAAAAGAGCTATATTAAAATATAGAAATTCAGGTTTAATGTCCTATCAACTAGGATGTAGAATTCTTCAAACATAAAGTAGTGTGACACTGGTATTTTAAATTCTCTTTGTTGTTTCCTTTGTTTTCCTAGTGTAAGAACTTCATATCCCCAGACGATTTTTTTTCCCCTCTACATGGTGCAAAGTAATATGTAGTGAGCTTGTGTAGCATTGTTATTAATTGTTTTGTGAACAGGCAAATAAAAGGAAAAAGGAAATTATAAGCCACAAGGAGCATACAGTACTTCCATAACTTTGCTCAATATTCTTTGTGCATTCTGATGCATGGAATTGTATAATAATATTCTAATGATACTGTAATATTGTAATAGTGACACCGCTAAGCTGAACCTCATTGCTGTTTTACTATAGTAGGACATTTCAGTTATTAGAAATTACCAAGGTAACATTGCAGTTGTACATAAGTAAGATTTTTAGGTACGCTACCTGAGTTTTATGACTTTTACTTTAATCCCTTACATTATATACACACATTAAGATGTTTTCTCATAGTCCACTATACAGCTCCTACATTGCACCTTTTGTACATTTTGTGTTTTTTATCTTAATTTTTTTTATATTTTATATTTTACATTTTTAAATTCTATTTTACATATTGCAATAGCTTCTTATACTGTACTATTTAAGTTGTTGCTAGTTCTGCGTTATTTCCTTGTTAATTGTTTAGCACCAAGTCAAATTCCTTGTATGTGTAAATGTACTTGGCAATAAACCCCGATTCTGATTCTGATTCTGATTCTGATATATACACATCTACTCCTTACTTTTTCTAAATGGTTTTATTACATTAGCTTCACTGTATTTGAATGGTATACTTTATTTAGTTTTTTTTTTTTGCAATATTACACACAGCCTTCCAAACATCAGTACAGATATCAACTT